TTTCTTTTCGCTCTGGACACTGACGGCTTGGCATGATATAAAGACCAGGAGTTGGTTCCCTCTGAATGTGAATTTTTTTTCTAAATAAATTAAAACAAATTGCGCTAAGGGTTTACAGATCATTTCTTATTTACTGGATGATGACGAACTAATGGAAGACGCACCTAGTGAACAGTGACACAATAATTAAATACAACAATCAACGCGGCTTCAATTGTTGACTTTGTTTGACGTACATTTTGGAGTTTGAGTTTACTTTCACTATGATATTCGATTGGGTTTCGAGTTGCTTATGAATCCTAAGAATAAATTCATGTGTCATCATCAATAGTTATGGATTTCAGATCATCGCTTGCTTTCAAAAATTTGGTCATGATTTTGTTTTCGAGAAGAAGAAGAAGAAGAAGAGGCACTCAAATACAGGACACCTGCAAATCGTCCCTTAACATTGATTGAAATTTTCCAATTGACATTCAAACGATGTCTGCAGCCGCATAAAAAAAAAAGATTACATCAATATTCGAAGGTCGCACATATTCTAAAATCATTTAAATATTGTTCAAAATTTCACGTTAACTTTTGAGCACAATGTTATATACAACATATTACTTGATTATAGTAAGTTATATTTGCACAAATATATAATCGATTACCGATGTCGGAATGTATCGAAGAACAGGAAAATGGATTCAAGACATAATAAAATATAATGAAGAGCACACTACAATTGTGTGCCGAAGTAGTCCGCTCTTTAGGCATGAATCCCGTGGACTTGTCGCAATGTTCCAAATTGAAAAGAACACTGGTATGCCAGCATTTTGTAACAACAGAAAAAGTTTAGGAATAATCACAGATCGAGCTCTAAACGACGTCAAGGTCACGTCTCACTCATATTTCTCAAACTAAAGGGGATCTCAGCAAAATCATAATATCGAGGGCGGAGCCACGATATTTCATTTCAAAACACTTTTTGATGACAGTGAGAATGTGTGTGACAGCATAAGAAAAAATAAGTAAGAAAGTTCTATGCGACGGAGGCCGAATTTCGCATACCCACCACTATGATGATAAATAAGCATAAAATCTCCAAAAAAATGAGAAGAAGAAAATTTAATTACTTGTAACTTTGCTTACACATAACCGAGAGGGACAGACATTGCTAAATCGAATTAGAATTTCACGCTGATCAAGAACATAAATACTTTACATGGTCTCTGAAGCGTCCCTTTGGTTCTTAAATATATATCAAATGAAAAAAAAAAAAAAAAACAAAATGTGTTTACGTCCATCTTAGAGTGGTGGGTAAAAAAGCAATATTAAATATATTTTAATTATTTTTAAAAGTTATGCAATTATTTTAATGCATTTTTGAAATTTGATGCAACCACACTTAAAACACTTGAATGCTTTTATGTATATGTATTTTGAGAAATATGTACATACACATACACACACGCAATTAATACACAAAACAGTTATAATATTTTTAATCAATTTTTTGGAGAGATAGAGAGAGAGACGACTTTTTGCAGCCTTTGATTCCATTTTGTTATATTTTTCGTATTTCATTAAAATTTTTGAAAATATTTCCTTTGCATAAAAAAAAAGAATTTATTTTCACCAAAATTTCTATTGATATTCACGCAACTAAACTTATGTTTGTGTATGCGAGAGGCTTTAAAATTTCATCCAATTGCCTGCACTTGATAACGCAGGACACCAGGACATTGCGAAAAGATTTGATAATCATTAGATCGTAAAAGTAACGGGAATTTTCCTAAATACGTCAATTTCTTTTGCTCAGTTCTCCTTCTTTTAACATAGTAGATAAACAAGCACTTTCTTATCGGATCTTCTAATAGACGGGATTGCATTCTCCAGTCTAGCCCAAACTATGACTACAAAAGACCAGGGATCATTTAACGATTCTCGTTAGCAAATTCGGTGGCGAATTTGCATTTTGATGGATTTGATAATTTTCGTTACGAAGCCTTCGCTAACGGTACTCGATAGCCGGTACCACAAACCTATGATATCGTAAATATTCCGTTGTAAACACAACGAAAGAGAAACCCAACTTGCTACGAAAACAATCAAAAAGAAAAACCGTTATTAAACTCCTTGTACAAATGATAAACTTCACCAGGAGCGATACAATGCTATAGCAATGCCTTCGGGGGAGTTTCTGTTCCCAATTTTTCGTTACCTAAAAAGTGAAATTACATTTCATTAACAGGCAATGTGAATGCGTGGAAGTAGATAAGCTCGTGCGGAACCATATTCGGTTGTGCGACCATGGAAGTAGCCCCAACATTGAACAAAAAGTTTCATGCCAAAGGACATTCGAAAAGCTTCTTTGGAATAAGATGATGTACCAAATGCCTCATGGATATAATATCAAGCAAATTGCCTCAAACAATTTAATGGGATTTGTTTGCGACTTATGCCATTTCCTAGAACTAATTTTCTCGATGTCTTCTCTCTAGTCGACTAACAGAAATCAAACTAACGGATCTCCTTGAATACGTTATACCTATGGACTTGTTGTTAATAGCATGTCAAACAAGGTACACCTTCAGCCTTTTTGAACAGATTAAGTTCTTTTAGAAGCACACAACGGAACTATAAGCAAATTGTAAAAAATTTAAAAGAAAAAAACGACTACAACAGCTCTATATGTATGTAATTCTACAGTCACTCACTCATCATAACAACTTACAATTCTTAAAGTTTCACGAGCTTACCACCAATTTGTCAAAACCGTTGACTTTAAATGCTTTACGTATGAATGATTCCTATTACTTTTTTGACAGTAGCTCGCACTCTAACCAACAGTCATATTTTATGCTCATATGCAATAAAATAATAAATTAGTTTTTAAAAAACGAAACCATTGACTTTTGAAAATGTTTTCCAATACTTTTTGAGGCTTTTAACACAAATTAGTTTTTCAATTACATTTTTGGTTAGTCATGTGCCATGGGTTAGAACTCTGCAAACAATACCTCACGTTTTATGCACTTGCGTTCTATTATTTGTACTTTAATCGAAGTAGCTTGCGATTTTTCATCAAGAAATGAAAATATGAAATTTATTATATTACCTTTTGTCATTACTCTTCCAATGTTCTCGCCATTTCGTATAAAAAAAGTAAATTTATACCAATTATAATGAATCATATAAAGGATCTTTTCGGTTTTTTTCGCGATTTCGAAGTCGTTTTTGTAGCCTCTCTCTCTCTCTTCAAATGATTGCGAATTGTCATGTGGTTGTAGTGATGTTTAGTGCGTCCCCTATTCTTGATAGCTTTCGCGCCGGCCTTGCTCCAGCAGTTGCGAAATTTCAACGACTTTTTCAGTCGCAAGGTGCAAGGTGCATATTTGACATTGAAATTTCCGAAGCAGAATCGAGCAAACCACGTTTCGGTCCTTCGTTTCCTTACAGCATTCTCACCGTACCCTTTACAAATTTTTCGACATGTTTTTGCATGTTCTACCATTTGTTTTATAGTAAAAAAGCATCGCATAGCGTATTTATTCAGATATTTCACCCATTTTCAAATCAATATAACTTCTTACACGAGTAAAGAACTATCTAGAAAACTATCTTCGTACAAAATGTAAGCTGAACTGTCGACCTTGTAATAAATAATAACATCATAGCTAAAAAGAAAATCGAAAATATATAAACAATTAATGTGACATTGAAGTGATGCATAGAAAATATCCATAAGTTCTGTGCCGCCATAACTCTCTTACATCAAGACGGACTAAGATCGTTTCAACAACAAGTTTGATGACCATTGCACGATAATTGCCACTGTTTTGTAGACTTAATTTCGTAAATCTTGGTCTTCTTAATTTTATTTACCGAATGCTTTTATAATTATTTCCAAAAGAATATACAAGCGGAGGCAAAGATACAAATATCTGCACTAATTGTAGCTTTACAAAGTTCTTTCCAATTATAAACTGTTACGATTCCTTTCACATCTATTGATAAAACTTATTCATAATCTCTTAACAAAAAACCATTGAGTAAAAGCACCCGGATATAACTCCGGTCTAGCAACTGATAGGACCTAATTATTCTTTCGCGGACTGGTAAGCACGCTTGGTAGTAGCAATTTTATTGAAAAATTCAGAAAAAAGCATTTCTACTATGACGCCTTCGCAAAAAACCACTGCAAAGACTTTTCCATAGTTGTGCAGCACTGCCACAAATTCAAGCATAACAATTTCTCTTATCTTCGCTTAATTCATTCGACGAAACCGAAGCGGATATAAAAATCTTACTAAAGTCTTTCATCTCCATGTAATGGCTAGCGCTCTGAAGAGCTTCTGCTTAAATATCCACTTTACGTCCCTATATAAGTACAATTTAAGTCGTTCAATTACTTACTTAATATCCTTTAGAGAATAAAATTCTCAGCCAAATCAATTTTCTCAATGTCATTTTGTATCCAAGTACCCTACCGTAATCCTACCTCTATAAAAATTTCGACATCATTCTTTATCTGAGTCGTTGATTCTCAAAATGGATTAAGTCTGTACTTTCAATTTAATTAAGCGGATATTATTGCGGTAAAGTATATTTTACTCCTGCAATAGACAATTTATAGTTAGTAAAGAGATCTAGAATTTCGGCAAAAATCTTTTGATGTAAAAAACAACCACAAATTTTTTCTTTATATAATATTCCTTCTGAATGGAATTTGCCGAAAATTCATTTTTGCCAATTGTTATCAGTCTTCTCTCTAATGGCGAGAGTGAGAGAGTGGCTAGCAAGGCACAGATAACCCGCCGTAAATATATATTTGGTTTCATGAAAACTTAAATCACGAAAAATGGCATTTTCGTAATAGCATAATAAAATAATCCCTTTTTTGAGTTTTTATTAGCTTTTAATAGCATAATTTAATATTATTTATTATAAGGATTAAAAATCATCTCAATGTAAACAACCTTAACTCTGTATACTTTTTGGTTCAATATAAATAAATACTTAAAATAAAATTTTTTATTTCATTGCCATTTTTACTTGGGTTAAACAGTGTTCAGCCTGCTTTAATAAATCGTCATCCTTTTCTTTTGCCGCCATTTTCAAAGCCCGCGAGCAAGAGTCCTTTGCTTGAGTCTGTAAGCCTTCCCGTAAATAAACCATTCCCAAATTTGCCAGTACAATACCTTCTTGTGTTGTATCCTTAATTTTTTTCATCAAGTCGACTGCGCGCAATAGAAACTGTTTAGCTTCAATAATATTTTCCATCTATTAATAAATAAAACTAAATAAGTTTCACAATAAACCTTTAAAAAGTATAAATCTTGTCTATCAACCTTTAAACAGTTAACTGTGTGGACCTCTTTAGCGAAATACTCGTATACTCATCAAACACTCGAGTATGTGCGAAATCGTAGCAGATTGTAATTAAACGACTTTGCAAAATGATAAAAATATTTTCTAAAATACATTATTATATATATCCGACAGGGGCGGGTGGACGGATCATGGCGTATATATTCGTCACACACACTTAACTGGTTAATAAGTTTTTTTCTAATTAGCAAAACAAATTTTCAAATAATAACAACTTATTCGTTTCGAAAGAACCGACTTTAGACGTACTGGCAACATATATCGCCAGTGTATCCATCAGCTTTTAAAACAAAACATTTTTCAGTGCCTGGGCCATTATCAAATTTGCATTTAACGTACTTTAATTGCAATTCTTAGAAAAGGCTTGTTATACTAATGTCTTGGATAATTTGATATATCAAAGAATATATTGCCTGATTTTTTCAGTTTAGTATCTCAGCTTTTTTTTTACTATTTTAGTGATGTAATTCTATAAGGTAGTAATATCCCCATTATTGATAATCCTAGCTTCAGCAATATATGCAATTGCAATTATATTTCACAATAGTGGCTTTCGGACTTATCAGCAGCAAAGATCCACCATTTCGGTGTGTATTCAAGTCTGCTAATTATATAAACCTTGTACTTATCGTCGAAGAAAAGCTACTCTAAAACTCACGACATCTTGTAGACTACGTAAAATATATGCATTAAGAAAATGATGTACATAGGCCTTCGACTGCGTTTGTGAGCATTAAAAACTGACTCGAAGAGAAATTAAGCGATTAAATCTTACTCACGTTTACACAGACCACGCTTAGGCTGTTTAAAATAGAAACACATTCATCGTTAAAAGCCCCATGAATTTTGATTCGACAATCTAGAGCATCTTCGAAGTTTTTTTTAGCTTCCTTATATTTGCCTTGCTTCATAAGTAATTCGCCAAACCTACAAACAAATAAAACGTGAGAGTTTCTCAATATAGCTTTCCATGTAAAGTGTGCGTAACTTATTTCGCGTGTAAAACCCAAATATACATATCTATACTATAATAAATTGTTTCTTGAGCAATACAAGATTTTCAAGACGATATATATTTTACTCCTTATTCACGTTGGCCACGTAAAATTTGGCACAAGTGTTCTTAATCGATCAACTCAAACCAAATTTGAAGAAATTACATTAATCAGTGAAAATTTCTAACTTTTGAAGCGGACATTAAATGTAAACCGATTTTTGCCAATATAAAGGTAGATTTTTATATATTAAATGGAAGAATTGAAGAAAATTCGTTCCAAGATAGATATATGTTTCTTATTTGTTACAAACGTACTTCAAATCGCGTCTGTTACTTTTTCACAGCAATCTACGAGTAAATCCTAACAATACGCCTATCCTATATATGTCCATCCTAATATATTTCCTTTAACTTTCAAGTTAAACGATATCAAAATCTATTCTTAAAGCAGCTGCTTCAGCGTAACAAGCAATTTGAGGCTTCTAATAAAGTTGTCTTATAGATTGAAAATAATTAGGTTTTACTTATTGCTTTTTCTGCCACCTATGCAGTTTAACTCAAGAGTTTACAATACCAATTCTTTGTTAGGCCCCAAAGTTCCTGGGCTTCGGCGTCATCGGGAACTTTCCGCAGATACTCCTCGAGTTTCTCCAGAACCCAAATAAATCCGAGCGTGGCTTTTTCAAAATATCCTTGCGTTAGTGCCATGTGTGCTATCTTGGAGCTGATGTGTAAAATCTACACTCAGCAAATAATTGCAGCAGAAAAAAAATTTGAACTATATTAAGCAAACTGTAAAGATAGTTTCATGTTTCCATACTGACACCCAAATACCTTTAAACTATCTTCAACGTAACCAGCTGCAAGCAATCTTCTAATGACTTCGGCAAATAACTTTTCAGCTTTTTTAAACTGCTCCCTTTCCATTGCTAAATTCGCCATAACATCATAAACATATGTTATACCATCCTTGCTCTGGAGATCTTGAGCCATTCTTAACGCAAGATGGAGCATTTGTTCCGCTTTATCATATTGTTCACGCTGTATACACAATATGGATCTCTTGATTGTCGTAATTAATTTGTCCTCTGGAGTCTCTTCATCTTCTGACGTAAGTCCAAGCCATCCCAAAATAGAGGAAAATATTAATACATTGCATCTTGGATCTGTTTTCTTTTGATTAAAAAGTCGCACATTATTATATACGCTACGTTGCCATTGAAATTCCTTTTGCGTAATACTTTTATGTAAAATCGAACAACATACAAGTCTAACAAACTTTTTTGGAAAATATTTTAAATATGAAATCATTGCTGTAAATAAAATAAAAAAAAAACATTTCATAATAACAGCTGATATCTTCATAGTAGCATGTGTCGCATTAAAATATACGCTCTGGTATATACGATATTGAACATTTTTAGGTTTAGAAGGAAAAGGAAGAAGAAAATAACGGTTAATTTCGTATTATATTTGTTCAAAATGGTGAATTGTATCTACTGCTCTTCAATTTACAATTGCAATTACAGAAAATGCAAACATGGAATTAGTGTACATTGCACCCCCGCAACCATTGCTTCTTTAAAATTTAATCTTAGTGTTTTCCGAAAAGTATTTAAGGTAACATGTAAACATTTCGTATATTGGTTATGTTGTTAAAGGGACAATAGTTAATGATGCATTGATTTGAAGAATTGGCCGGGGAAACATCAATATAAAATAATAACGCGCCTAGCATAATATTTCAGTGGTGATGCAAGAATAACAATGACATCTAAATTTTAATTTTTTTCCAAGTTTTTTTGTATTATTTGTTTGTGTATATTCGAAACCATATGATATGACAATTCCCATTAAGTTTCATAAAATGCCGGCAAATCCCGAAAAACGGAATAACGCATTGTCGTGTGAGCTTCATAAGACCCAAAAAAAATAAGACTAATTACGTTCCAGAGGTGAGAGAGAAATTAACATTTCATGTGGTTCTAATGTTTAGAAAGTGGTAGACTAAAAAAAATAAAGGAGAAAATAAAGACAATTTATTTTAAATCATTTATTTAATTTATGTTTTTTATTTTTTCTCGTCAAAAAATATGCCAGCGAGACGTCTCATTTTCCTTACCTCTTGGCTTGTGTTTTGCCTGAAACGCATTTCGCATAAACTGCGTGGTAGAACATATGATTTCAAAGAGCCACTTCTCATCTGTGCTCAGCAAATATCTTGTAATATTTTGTTTTAAATATTTGTCACGCATTGAGTGTATAGCAAAGCAGCAAAAAATTATCACAACAAATGTCTTCTATAGTTTATTTACAAAGGTGAATACGGTACTAATAAAAAATTTAAAAAGTTATTTGTTATTGTTGTTTTTTTATAAAAAAATATTTTCTTACGCTTACATTACCAAAAATTATTTTTATGAACATACAGTAGATGTCAATATTTTCAAAAATCAGTGTACAGGTCTGTCAAAATGAGCAAAATCAACCAATGTGTGTGTAAAAATAACCAAAATCATAAGGCACATATTTTTCAATAAAAGTAAACAAAAGCTCAGAAAAATTCGCTCCCAAAATTTTAGTTTTGTTTTTTATTAAAAAAAAAACACGTGTTGCATAATTCTCTGTTTAAATAAAATTTCTTCATTGTACACAAGAATCAAATAAAACGAAAATTTGAAAATTTAACAAATATCAATTTTTGTATTTATTTTACTTGAATATTTTTAAATTTTTTCTGTTATTATTCTTGTTTTTAATAAATTCAAATAGGTAACGCCCAACTTGTATGTTTTGAACACCATATAATAATGAAAACGAAGGGCGTTTTTATGTTAGGCAACGAGCCTTCAAAAAGATTACGAGATGCTAGAACTGATCATTCAGGAAGTTCGGTCAAGAAAGTTCATAACGCTGGTCACAGTTCCAGCAAACGGAGGTCTTCTGCTATAGATAAAGATAATATAGCCCCAAAAAAACCACGCGTGGATGTGAGTGTTATTAATAATGAGGAAATTCAATTTGCTAAAAATGTTGCTGGCAAGGAAGGAACACCCGCATTTAATCACCTCTTAGATTTTCTAATCGAAGAAAAAAGACTACAAATTCTGGAAGAAAAAGGAATAAAGCCAGCAAGCATGTCAAGTATTTTGGATAAAGCGAACACTAACGCGTACAAAGCATTTAAGGATCTCTACGAGCTGTGGTTTGACGAAAAAGGAAATAAAACAAAGTACTTAAAAACGCTAGAAGAAAATGGGATAAATTTATCGAACATGTCCAGTATCCTAAGTGGATCAGGATCAAATGCTGCAAAAGCCTTTAAAGACTTACATAATCTCTGGTTTGATGAAAAAGGGAATAAAAAAAAATATTTGAAAACTCTAGAAAAAAATGGAATAAATTTACCTAACATGTCTGGTATCTTAAGTAAAGCAGGATCAAGTGCCGCAAATGCTTTTAAAAGTTTATATGAACTGTGGTTCGATAAAAAAGGAAATAAAACGAAATATTTGGAAACTCTCGGTAAAGAAGGAGTAAATCTACCTAATATGTCTAGTATTTTGAGCGGAGCGGGATCAAATGCTGCAAAAGCTTTTAAAGACTTGTATGACTTATGGTTTGATCAACAGGGAAATAAAACAAAATATTTAGAAGCTTTAGAAAAAGAGGGGATAAATCTAACTAATGTATCCGGTATTTTGAGCAGAGCAAAGACTAATGCTGCGAAAGCTTTTAAAGAATTGTATGGCACCTGGTTCGATGAGCGAGGAAATAAAACAAAATATTTAAAAACTTTGGAAAAGCAAGGGATAAATTTATATAATATATCTAGCATTTTAGGTGGAGCCGGATCAAATGCCACAAAGGCTTTTAAAGACTTGTACACCCTGTGGTTTGATGAGCAAGGGGATAGAACACAACGCTTAAAAAATTTGGAAGAAAAAGGAATAAATTTACATAATGTATCTAGTATCTTGCACAGAGCAGGATCAAATGCTGCAAAAGCTTTCCAGGATTTATATGAATTGTGGTTCGATGAACAAGGGAATACAACGCAATATTTTAAAACTTTAGAAAAAGAAGGGATAAGTCTTGCCACCATTTCAGATATTCTACATGGGGTAGGGTCTAACGCTGCAAAAGCGTTCAAGGATTTGTATGATCTGTTGTTTGACGAAGAAGCAAATAGAACCCAGTATTTGAAAACCTTAGAAAAAGAAGGGATAAATCTTGTTAATATATCTAGTATTTTAAGTGGAGCTGGGTCTAAAGATGCAAAAGCCTTTGAAGACCTATATAACCTATGGTTTGATAAAGAAGGAAAGAAAACACAATATTTAAGAACTATAGAGGAAGAAGGAATAAACGTATCGAATATGTCGAGTATTTTAAGTAAAGCTGGGTCTAATGCTCCTAAAGCTTTCGAAAACTTGTATAGCATTTGGTTTGATGAAGAAGGAAAGAAAACACATTACTTAAAAGCTTTAGAAAAGGAAGGAATAAACCTATCCAATATGTCCAGTCTTTTACATGGTGTGGGGCTTAACGCTCCTAAGGCCTTCAAAGAGATGTGTGATCTTTGGTTTGATAAAGAAGGGAAGAAAACGCATTGCTTAAAGACTCTAGAAAAGGAAGGACTAAATCTGACAAATATGTCCAGTATTTTAAGTGGAGCGGGTATTAATGCTCCTAAGGCTTTTAAAGATTTATATAACGCTTTTTTTGACGTACAAGGAAAGACGAAGCTGCATTTAAAGCATTTTATTGCAGAAAACGATGGGCAGGAGAGTTTCACAATGCATAACCTATCTGGTATTTTAAGTGGGGCGGGAGCTAAAGCCGTTGATGCTTTTGAAGAATTCCATAGTGTTTGCTTTAATAATGACGGAGAGAGAACAAAACTTTTAGATGATTTTTATAGAATCGGCTTTAAGCCAAGCAATTTATCCTCCATATTATGTAGAGGTGGAAATCGTGCTTCTTCTATTTTAAAAAAGCTCCATAATGTTTGTTTTAATAGCGAAGGGAAAAAAACAGAACTTTTAGACGATTTCTACGATATAGGTTTTAAGCCAAGCGATTTATGCAGTTTATTGAGCGGAACAGCAGATGATTTAGAAAAATTACATGATTTTTGTTTCACAAGAAAAACAATAAAATATCTTAATCATTTTTTGGATGATAAAGAAGGTTTTACGCTAAGTAATTTGTGCAATATATTACACGGGGCAGAAGGAAATGCTTGTTCTGCTTTAAAAGATTTTCATAATGTTTGTTTTGATAATGAAGGAAAAAGAAGAGAATTTTTAGATGACTTCTATAATGCAAATTTTAATTCAAGTGATTTATCGGGTATATTATCCATGGCAGGAAATAATGCCTCTTCGATTTTAAAAAATTTTCATCAATCTTGTTTTAAAAAGAATTATTTATATGACTTCTTGAGTGAGGAGAAAGTTTTCAAGCCGAAATATTTATCTAAAATATTATACGGAGCAGGTAATAATGTTTGTCAGATTTTTGAAAAATTACATCATTTTTGTTTTGATAAAGCAGGAAACAAAACAAGTCATTTAAGGACTCTTATTAAAAACAATCCATCGAATAAAATAATTCATATATTATATGAAAAAGTTCGAAAATCTCCGTCTACTTTTATAGACGATACGTCATTTCAATAACATTTTATTAGTGAGTTGGGCGAGAAAAAGTAAGAAAATGTAAATGACTTCATAATGGATCATACGATTCCAAAAAAAAAAGAGACTTTTATGCCCATATAAAAATTAAATTGTATGTATGTCGTTATTTATACTTTATGATAAAAAATTATTAAAATGATCATTTTAGAAAGCAAAACAATTCAACTGGCACACATTATTTCTATACATTCTACAGCTGTTTTCCTCTCAATTACAATTTTAATTGTACGCCAACCTACCGAAAAAGAGTTAGTCATCCAGCGATCATTTATCGCAGAATTCTATCTATTTCAACTTTACCCAAATGCTCAGATTTCAAAAACTATTTCATGCATCGGCATCATCATGCGGAAATATGCGGCAAAGAGGTTCACAGTTTAATCTGTGCTTTATAATAGAGCAGATGAAGTAATCGTAAACAAAGGCATTTTTCATGAATTTTTTGAAAAGTTTGTTTTTCCAATTTTTTTGTAATGTTTAACTGCTTCGTTAAACCATGAAGAGCAATTGTTTTGAGGGGACGGTTGTCTAATGGGAACGGATACGGAAATAGCTACGCTTAATATACTATAAAATGTATAAATTAAGATTTTCATATCTTCAGTCAAGTATACTGTGTGAAATATGTGAGAGATGACGCATTGCCGTACTAATAGCAAGTAACAGAAATATCGCGGTCCGCGGCTCGTTATTAAACGCTCTGCACCACATCGCTTGAACCACCGTCTTACGTCATGGCTTTCCAAAATAAGGCAAGTGGTCGAAAAAGCGGACCGATCTGAACCATCTCCAACGGCATTCATCTTGGACCAAAACATGTTAATGTACCATCATCTCAAAAATTATGCCTTGTAGGGCGAAAACAAAAAGCGCAGACAGACAGACGAACAGAAAAGGTTAAAGAAAGCGATTGTCACGATCACACATACATTGTATGACAAAAGTTGGGGCTCTCTCTTCTATTTAATTGTCCTAGGCTATGGGTACATGCATATAAACTCAATATTTCTTTGTATCACAAGCGGTGTAGGGTATAACGAACGAAACAATGAATTTATTTTATATTATCTTTCCTTATTAAATATAAAAGATATATATTCAAAGAAATTATTTAACTCTCATCTTTTCATCATTGTTGTTAAAGAGTATTTTTGTTCATTTTTTTTAATTTTGTGAGTACTGAAAATTAAAATTTTATTCATTTTGAAAATTAATATTAAATATAGAAAATCTATAAATATGCACAGTCAGAAATTTAGAATATTAAAAAAAATAAAAAGTTGTTTCATTACAAAAATAATAACTGCATGTCATCACGTAACATGTATTCCATTCTAGTGCAGCTAACGTTGCCTTGGCAGGTTTCATGGCATAAAGCTAAAAAATCGTTTTACATAATTTTTTCTCTTATCAATTTATATAGAATTGAAATTTTAATTTTCTATTTGCCGAAGCTTACTCATCTACATATAGTCTATATATAACTGACCTACTAAGTTTTGCAAGATGAAGAAAACTTCATTTGTATTATCGTTTTAGCACAAGTGTTCTTTAAGACTCGGAACGCACCCAAGCGGTCTACTCGTTAATTGCTTTTTAAATTCACACATGAGTGACCTTACAGACAAGATTTAAAGGATTTTTCCTTAGAGACAGTACTTCACATCTTTTTGTCTCCTCACATGCTCCAAATCAATCATCTCCTAGCAGTAACTATAGTAAACAGAAAAATTATGTTCGTGTTATGTAAGATTTATTGTCGTCATATAGTTAAGCTTTTAATTGGTATCGTTTGGACCGACTACTATTATTATCAAACTCAGGGAGAAATTTAAGAAGGCCCTGATAAATAACTATGTCTTCGACGACCAAGTCCCAGGAAAATAGAATAATGTAATGCATAAAATCAAATTTTCTTAAGCTTTGTCCTATTTTATCTCTCGAGGCGACCATTCGCCGACTATTTTCAAATATGAATTAACGCACATCGTATAGAGCGGGCTTTTTATACGTTATAGATGGGGAATAAGTACATATAGCTATAATTTTGTAGTAGAAGACTTTTCAATACAAAATAATTACTTATACAAATTGATATTTTTGATGAAATTCTTCGTAATTTCTCTAATTTATGAATTTAATTTATTTCAGGAAAGATGACGCTGTTGTTGTTTAAATGTCACACTACCCTAAAATGGAAATTGAATGTATATTGCTTACATATAAGTTTCGCATAAGTTTTATACGTACTGTAATGTAATGCTTTATTGCGGGATTTTCTGATGAAACATGAATTATCTAATACTACACATATAACATTTCTTATCATGTTTTTTATTAACTTTAACATATAATGAACGATAGGCAATTTAAGCGCACGCAATACCCAAAGCGACACCACCGACAAAGGCAGTCAAAAATATGTGCAAATCATTAATTTTGGGACCTTCTTCGTCGCCAATGAGATTGCTATACCATCTTTTAACTTTATCGGATTTATGCTTCACAATATCTTCAGCACGATCCAATTGACGATCAACGTAACGTTCGGCCTGAAAAATTGCGTATAAAAATTGTTTTAGAGGTGAACTCAAAACTCACTTAATTTTTGTATTTTATATATATAGAAAAAGAAAATCATCAAATTTCCCATTAGTTTTTAAACTTAAAATGCCTGACAATCAAAAAATCTGGGACTCTCTAAGTCGCAAAAACATGAAAGCTATAATGAAATCTGGAATTTTTAATAATAATTGAAGAAATAACAGTAACTCATACATACTCATCTTCATGTTCATTTAATTAGAGAAGTGAAGCCGATTGGAAAATTGTGGAATCCTTTAGTTAATAATAATACAATCGAATCTAGTTTGGTCTGATCAATATTCAGTGTAAAACTTGTTTTGAACAGCCTGTGCTATAAGTAAGTCATATGCAGTGTCATGCACTAAAAGATATAAGAAAATTCCAAGTCTCAAGTAGGTGACTTGTAGCCCAAGTTTAATCTATTGCCGTTATGCACTTGGTGTTAGTTCACGCTCAGGCTTCAGGCAGATAGTTCACTTACTGTATGCTTAAATTGTTCTTTCTCTTACTGCTTTCTACTACCACTTCTCGAAGAAGACTCAGTCGGAAAAGTTTCGTTATACTACAATTTACCAAATAACAATACAAACAAGACGGAGGCTATTTATTTCAAAAGAAGCGCAGCTCCTGAGGATTAATCAACTGCACTTCAAAATCAACACATAAGTAAAGTTATTCCATAAGGACCAAGTGTCTCTCCTCCTACCTGAATGCGGTTAATAAAAAGTAAAGGTTGACTGTTTCGAATTTAATGCTAATACTGTTGTAAGAATTTTTCCGCCTAAAACAACGACACTCATTGTCAAATTCGCTTATGCTACGGTCACACGTTGCTCCCTGTGTCTTAAAGGAGAAAATTTTTACAAGGTTTATTATAAGTACATCTATTGTTACAGACTTCAAAGTTTGGCATTAAGGCGAAAAAGTATACAAAACAAAACAACAAGCAACAATTAACATTCAATTAATAGGAATCAACTTACGGCCAATTTCGTCACTTCTAATAGAGAAGAAAAAAATAAATAAACGGAACAACGATGCTATTCGAAACGCTTGCCTGTTTCCACAAACTAAAGCCATTTTTAAGAAGCCGATTATTCTCTATAATAATAAGACGTTGAGAAAATTTAAATTCGGAACGGAATTAATGTTTAATGCTGTGTTTATTTGCAATTTGAAAATGTGATAAGATTTTTTTAAATACTTTTATTAAATATGCCAGTTTTTGAGAAAAAAAAAATTAGATTTCAAAATATAAACTTTCTCAACGCATCTTTAATTATATTTCATTTAATATTGTATAAAAAAATAATATTTCAATGTCGGTAATGGTCAACTAACTACATCCAACGCCCAACAAGACGCCGCCAAGAAAAGTTACCAATAAGATTCTGCTTGTTTTCCTTATTTTTTCTATTTCCTAAAGAAAAAATTGTTTATTACAGTAACGGAAAATCAAATAGTTTCATATGTGTGCTAAAAACTATTAACAATTATTTCTAAAATTAACAATTTTTTTTGGCTAAAAGATCTGTAAACAATTTTAGTAGACCTTTCTCTCATTATGAAACGGGAAATATTGAGACTCGATACTCGGAATCAATTGATGCGTGCCAAGACTAGTAATTACAAAATCTGAACTGGGATGTCCAACAGAAAGCACACAATTATTATTTTATTATATTGCTTATCAAAGTTTCTAAGTATAGTCAGCAGAAGTTTTAAACCAAAATCGTTCCGTGATCTTGCTTGCGATATTCGAGAATTGTCAGACAACATAGAAGCGTTTATTGCGCTTTAAAAAACTTTGAGACAAGATGTCGCACTCCTTTTTATAAGATAAAAAAAAGCCTTTATTGGAAAAAAAATCAACAAAAGTACTCATTGAATTCTTAGTTTAAATTAGCGGAATTGTCATACCCTCGAAAACTTCTAACTTTTTGAATACTCGAAATATCAAATTTTGCTTATACGTACCGCAGCACTTAGAGAGTCCCTTATGCTTATAGTCGTGCGAGCCTTAGCTATTTTATGTAATAAAAATACATGCATTAATAAGACGTACCTTGTCCATCCATGTTTGATCTCGAGCAGTAATGGCTCGTTCGACATTACCTGAAACTTTATCAATTTTTTTCGTCACTTTAGACCAATCAATTTTCACATAGCCTTCTTGATGAGCTATTTCCAAGAGTATTATACCACCACCAATAGCAAAAGCTGCGAATTTCCCGACTTTCATTGTTGTGTATCCAGTAACCCTGCAAATTTTTTTAAATTTATATAAACTGCGACATACATATATATATATATATATATATATATATGTATATACAATTATACAATAAACTGAATAAAAGGGCTATAAATTCGCTTCTAGACAAATTTTTTGCAGTAAAAATTTTCCATAGCTTTCGATTGAGAGTGATCACTCCAATAAGAATTATTTTAAGTTCCAATATGTATTAAACACCATATTTCTGATTGATATCTATTACAATATACAAGATGGATATCCCCAAAAGCATGACAGATTCGATGAATTTTATGTGCACATCATTTCACTCTCTCCTTCCATTGCTACGCTATAAAGGAGTCTGGAGACATAAGACAAGCTTACATGTCCAAGCCTCTTACTAATCAAGAATATATTTGCGTTAGATCATCGATATGAAATGAAAGGTCAATATCTCTTACAACAACAAACTATGTCAAATTGCTTTCACTACATTGACTACAATTCTTAGTTTATTCATATGTTGATGTGTATTAAAAAACAATATTTTTTTATTAACATCAGAGAAGGTGAACGATATATTCCCAACAAATATTTTTATGCGTGAAAAACAATGCACGAATCCAACACTAGGAGGAGTGAGGAAAAGACGCTAAAGCATATAAACTAATATGGAAAATTAGACTTGAAAATAGATTCAGTCCGCTCTTAGCACTTATTTCATCCGGCTTATCATTTCCATCTGATCGCATCATAAAAACAAATTAATTTTTATTTATTTTGTCAACACATCGCTCATACGCTAAGTTATCCCAAATTATGCTGTAATACTTATTTTAAGAATTATGCAGTAATATTCCCGTTTCACTTGCTTTAATGTTTTTAGCATTTGAAGGCTAAAGACAAATTTGGTTTTCTTGAAATATTGTTATTTAAATAATTAAATATTTGCGAAATTTTCATTGCCGATTAGTACAAAAAGACAAAAAAGGCAAAATCGATTGTGTCAGACAACTCAACATTTTGTATTATTTGACATCCATGGATATCACGACGCCTGGATCAATAAATAATATTATATTTCTTGTGACGGATCGGTGAGTGAATAAGATATAAGCTTACCAGCCGGTTGAAGTTCCAATTGCTATTTGGGAGTAAGCAGATCTCGAGCTGATATTGCCTAACAGACCTCCCAAAAATTTAGAAGCTTTATCTGCCATCTTAGATGTATCTATTTCCTTTCCTTATTTTAGAGAAAAATAATGGCCTGAACTGGATTACGACCGTCCCTTTTATTTTAAATTTTTTAAACTAAAACTCTTTTGACAGTCCCGACGTCGTAATATTTTTCTTCACCCAATTTTTAGTGAATATTAATACTATCAAATAGGGATGGGAAGTTATCGATAAGATAAATAACGAGTAAACAAATTTCTTTCCCATAGTTGCTTCAGTATGAAAAGTGATTGCTGATTAACTAAAAATAATAATGAATCGAGTCATTTTGTTTTTCTTTTAGAGCTAATCTAAACTTAGTAACTTTTCGAATTTTATATTATTATTATTATTATTATTTTAATTTTAGACTAATGAATTGAATTCTTAGACTAAAAAAAGAGACATTGAGCACTAGCAACACAGGCTATCGGCTCTCGAATTTTATAATAATAATAATACGTAAGAAAATTACAGGTACCTTGCGCCGAGTCTATTCCATCAATTATTTAGAGTAACATAAAAAATTTTAAAATGAATATATAAATTTTACGAAATTTTCGATATCTCTTTTTACCCACATTTTTGAAGTCTCTTTTTTCTGCCTACATGAAGAGACTAAGCCAAAGTTGTCGCTTACTTCATATATTGGTTTATATGAACCTTTCTCATTTTAAAAGAGGATATTAATGTCAAACTATTTACACTGGTTTAAAAACGCAAGGTCAGCAACAACCGATAATCGAGAAGTTGGGGATATTAGGTGACATTTTAAAGACACAACACATAAGACAGGGTATTCATTATTTTACATGAAAATTTAGCCATGACAAAATGGTTTTTCAAGTGGATTGAACGATTGCTCACAGTAGACCAAAAACATTAATCTATGATTTGTAGTGCCGAATGAAACTATTTATCAGTAAATAGAAACGATTTTTTCAGGTGGTATGGTGAACAGTCTGTTCATTGACTTAAAGAGTGAAAATGTCAAAAAGAAATGGCTTCAAGTCAGGAAGAGAAAGTGGTCTTTCATCACACTTATACACCAAATCCCAAGACTATGGCAAAATTACGTGAATTGAAGTACGCGTCGCTACTAATTGTCTGCAAATTTTAGGTGGATGATCAAAAGAAATAAATTTGGATCAAATGACCAGCTCACGGCGAGCACTGAAGCGCACTTTCGGGGTTTTTTCAAGACCATCAAGATCATCAAAGTCTCAAAAAAGCACTAGAATGATTGCATGAGTTAAAAAGTATATTATGCTGATGAATAAAACTGAATTTTATGAAAAAAATTGACATTTAAATTTGCGTTGTTCAGTCCAAGGAGTTATTGATCACGTCCTCACATGTTTTTAACATAGTTTGGTATCCGGTTTTATTGGTTGTGCATGGTTGTTTAAAGTCCTCGCTTTTATGGACTTCTACTTGAGCGAACAAACAAACTTATGAAAGAACTTCAATACGATGTCAAGATTTAATTAAGTATCGAAGTATTTTTAATTATTTTAAGTACAATAAAGAAAGGACAAAATGATTTCGTTTTCGAGAATTTACAATCTACTACTTGTTGAAGATTTCCGCTAGACTTTCGCGACGTTCCTTTTCTTCATGCCTGACCGTTTTCCCGCAATTCATTAACTTATTTGCCATTTGCAAATTCCTAACCTAAAATAAAATTTTCTCTTAACTGTAAGGATATATTTTATTGATACATACATAAATACATTCTAATAAAAACATTAATCAATTTCTATTCGGTTTTTATTGATACATACATAAATATATTCTAATAAAACCATTAATCAAGTTCTATTCGGTTTTCGAAATGTAACTGTCCAGTGTGCATTTTAGATTCTTTCATTTTTTCGTAAGATTTCATTAAATCATCCATTGTTATGGCAGCAATCATTAACTCGCAATTATTGTCTTTCTGCGAATCTTCACTACCCGCCCCGGAACGATTTTTATCGGTGACCCGCATGAATTTTCGCATGCGAAAAACAGATGCGTTGCGACACATTTCTCTTAAATCGGATCCCGAGAAACCATTTGTCACTTTAGAGAGACGTTCATAGTCAACATTAGAATTTACATTTTCCAATTCTAAAATTAACTTTAATATCTGAGAACGTTGCTCAGTATTGGGAAGTCCAATATGAAATTGAGCAGGCATCCGCCTAATTATAGCTTTATCTAAATCTTGAGGCCGATTTGTAGCCCCCATTACTATAACTGTTATATTATTATTTGTGCTAAGACCATCC